TGACATTTATAGTAATTACTGATAAGGAGGGCCTCATTTCTACCATTTTGCTATTTGCTTTCTTTGCCCTATATCTTTTTTATCCCTTGTTTCCCAAATTACTGTCTTTTTTGTTTAGCTGATTTTTTTGTAATGAAATATTTTAATTCCCTTCTCATTCCCTTTCATGTATATTCTATAGCAATTTTCTTTGTGGTTACATTTAATACCTTAAATTACATTTGACATCCTGAAGTTAGAACACTAATTTGAATTTATACCAGCTTAACTTCAATAATGTACAAAAGCTCTGTTTCTTTATAGCTCTGTCCCACCTCTTTTAGTTATTGTTGTCATAGAATTACATCTTTATACATTATGTGTCCAAAAAATAAATAATTGTTTTTTATAATGCATTAGTCTCTTAAATTTTGTAGAAACAAAATGTGATGTTACAAGCCAAAATTATAAGACTACCTTTTAGACTAATAATTTTGTAATGTAGTAGTCTCTTAAATCATTAAGAAAAGATGTGAAGTTACAAACTGTTTTTACAATAATATTAGATTTTATAATTGCCCATGTATTTGCCTTTACTGAGATCTTTATTTCCTCAGATGGCTTCGAGTTACTGTCTAATGTCCTTTCATTTCACCCTGCAGGACTCCCTTGAGCATTTCTTGCAGGGCAGTTATAGTGGTAATAAACTTCTTCAGCTTTTGTTTATCTGGGAAACTTTAATTTGTCCCTTATATGTGATGCAAGTTAAGGGTCAAGGTTCATTTTTTTGCATGTGGACGTTCCCTTTTTCTAGCATCATTTATTGGAAAAAACTGTCTTTTCCCCATTGAACTACCTTGGCACCTTTGTCAAAAATCAGCTGACAATATGTAGGGGTCTGTTTGTGGACTTGCTTCTCTTCCACTGACTTATGGATGTGCTCTTTCACCAGTACCACACTGTCTTGATTACAGTAGCTATATAGTAAATCTCAAAATCCAGTAATGTGAGTCCTCCAGTTCTTTTTCAAAGCTGTTTTGGCTGATAACTAGGAAAGTAAAATTCCTTTTTGCTCCATATCATTTGTCTTTCCATATTAATTTTAGAATTGGCCTGTCAATTTCTACAAAAAGTGCCTACTGGGATTTTGATTGGATTGCATTGAGTCTGTAGATTGCTTTGGGAAAATTTGACATCTCACTAATACTGAACCTTCTGATGCATGAAGGCGGCTTATCTCTGTTATTTTCTCTCTTCTTTAATTTCTGCCATCAGTCTGTTGTGGTTTTCAGTGCACAGGTCTTGCACATACTTGTTAAATTTATTGCTAAGTAGTTCGTGTTTGTTGATGATACTTTAAATAGAATTGTCTTTTTAAATTTCAATTTTTCAGTGTGTAGAAATAAATTGATGTTTGCATATTGACCCGGTATCCCAGGACCTTGCTAAAATCACTTAGTAGCTTTTTTTGTAGGTTCTTTATGATTTCCTACAGAGATGACATCTGCAAATACAGTTTTACTTTTTCCTTTCCAATTTGTATACCTTTTGTTTCTTTTCTGTGCCTTATTGCAGGAATTTCATTTTTGTATTGTATAGCCTCTAAGCCAACAATTTCAACAGACCATTAAGCTCTACAGTCAGGTCACAGAGAACCTTTTCACTCTGAATTTTATGATATATAAAGGTTGAATTTATAATAGTTTTACTTGCCGTTGAAAATATAACCAGATGATCGAGATGATGAAACTTTTCAGACTTAAGGCACAATACATCTCTTAATTTTATATAGAATTTTAGAAATAAGTACGTGACTTTAGGTATCATTTTTAATGATATCACATATTTTGAAATGATATCAGTATTTTTATAATAGCGAGAGTTTATCATTTGTGAAATATCGAACCAGTGACCTTAGCTGTTCAGTTATGATGAAAGGCCTAATCTAACCTTTTATTGAATGTGATATTTATTAAAAATGAAACTTCTCATTTCTATTACTTAATCAATAGCACATTAAGCCATTTATTAATATGATTAAAAAAGGTCTTGCAGACAAGAAGTTCTACTCCCTTGTCATCTAGTTTAACAACCAGGGAATAGCAGTCTAACCTAGAGTCAGTCTACTGATCTTGTAACTTTTATGAGATACTAGAAAGAACAGTTAAAATTTGCAGAAAGAAAATAATTTGTAATGGCTATTTAGAAAGGAACAAGCCCGTTTTACATTATCACATAAGTAAACCTGCCTGGAGAAGATATATTTTATGTGCCAATAGTTAATTATTATTTATTTACTTAAAACAATGGGGTTTGGTACAGGTGGCATATTGGTAAGTGTGGCAATAAATGCATTGCATAATTGACGTTGGCAGTGAAAGAAGCCTATAGTAGGAAAAAGAAAAAGGAACTATGGAGATGGGAATGTTGAGGCCCATCTCTTCTGTGGAGTCTTGTGTTTTTATTGAAATAGAATATGCATAGAGAAAAGTGCACGTCATAAACGTGCAGCTTGGTGAATTTTCACAAACATGGACTACTTCAGGAATGAATGTTTCTGTTGTCCTTGCACCAGGGCGGTGCCTTCTCTCTGAATTGTTCCAGTTTCAGTATGTATGCTGCCAAAGGGATATCGAAATTGAATTGTGATGATAATGGTAGCTAAAATGATTAAATTCCTACTATGTGCAAGGCATTGTAAAGCGCTTATACATACATTATCTCACTTACTTCTCACAATAAACTCTATGAGAGAGAGACTGTTGTCCCCAGCTTCAAGATAAGAAATCAAAGGATTCAGAAGAGCTACAATTTGTAGGTTTTTGCTGTGTGTTGGGCACTGTCTGAGGCCCTTTATAGTCACTATCTCGTTTTTTTCTCACACCGTCCCTGAGAGTTATTATCTCCTTTTGCAGATGAGAAAGTTAAGAGTCAGAAAGCTCATTTGCCCAATGTCACAGATCCAGTGTCCAAACACAGGCCATTCGACTCCACAGCCTGCGTTCTTAACCACTAAACTGGAAGGTTGGTGTATTACTACAGAGTAAATCACACAGATGACCAGATGGAGAGAAAGGAGGGAGGCAGTCAACGAAAAATTTTTTGATAGTGTAATTCCCAAAGGCTACGAAAGAGAAAATGGAAAAAAGAGATTAGGGCTAAAACAGGGCAGGCATCTACCTAATTCTTGGAGGCAAAGGGAGGCTTGATCAGCGAGATCTTTGACCCTTACTAAGAAGCTGCTGGTTTAAAACACCGTATGTGCAGATGAATCTCTGTCCAAACAAGCAGTGAAGATCTCTGTCTGGTGTCAAGGACAAGCTGAGTGGCTCAGGTGCAGCTCTTTCTTCTCTGAGAAACAGATCGTGTCAAGTTAGAGCTGGAGAGGCTCTTAGAGGTCATCCCCCCAGTGGCCTACCCCTCAGATAAAGAAAGTGGCCAGGCATGGAAGTGAAGACATGGCCCTGAGAGGGCCCGGAATTGTCACCTGGGCCTCCCCCACAGCCTCTCCCCTCGGGCATGTGTGACTGACACTTCACGTGCCCACTGCGTGTCTTTCCAGTTAGCATTTGTTATCTCTCTGTTGGAGTTCTTCAGAATTCCTTGTTTAAAATCTCTAGTAAACTTGCACAAATTTGCTAGTTTTCTACTGTCTGAGTAACTTAGTCCCCGGTCTATAAAATATTAAATTTCATGCCAAAAATTATTAGTAAAGTATAGTAAAGTTTTGCCTTTTTTCATTGGTGAAAAAACTCCTTAGTCTTGGAATTGGAAGATATTGAAAAGTTGTGGAAATTATAGAAAAATTTAGTTTGTTTTCCATTGTAAGCTTGATCCCTTGACTGACTGTGTCCCTGTGACCGCTCTCCTTGTGGATCTGTGTTCCAGGACCTGACCCCATAGCACTGTCCATCCTTGGCACCCTCCCCGGGGTCTGGTCCCGTTCCTCTGCCCAGATGGCTGGCTTTTCGGGCCCCTCCAGCTGTTGTCAGTGACCCAGAAATGTGCTTCTGTTGTCAAAATAGTGGGGTAGGTTGCCTCCCAAAATAAAATGTTATTTTATTTTGGATAGAGCTGCCCATTTAGCATCACCTCTGATAGACCAAAATGGCCCCTGAGGCTGATAAAAAATCAGACGTAATACTCCCTAAAACAGACCCGAGGGGCTAGCCAGATAGATGGTACAGTGTTCTTAGGGCCTCTGAGGAGTCTGCCTCTGAGAACTTCTTGGTGACTGTAAGGCAGGCCTAGGAGAATGTGGGTTTTTATCACTGCTCTTCCTTCTCCCGCTGTGGTTAAAACACACACAGAGTCCATTTCACTCTCTGTGTCATCTGTGCTCTTAGTGTGGTGCGTTATTGTCCCTCAAAGTGGCTACTGTGAGAATTGGAGAGTTGTATGTGTGGGGAACTTTTTGGGTTTTGGGAGTCGGGGGGCTTTTGTTTTCACCAGAGTATAGTAAAGCATTTTTGCCTGCTTACGTGCTACCTTTTAGAATTAGAGGCGGAATTAGAGGTGTGTGTTGGTTTTACAATTTATTGTCTTTGATTTTTACGGATGAATATTCATTGAGCTTCCTTTATCAAAAAACTGATTAAATGTATGGCATCCGTCTAACAATATATAGTTTTTTTTTTCTTCCCGAACAGATTCTCTGGTGAGAGTGCCTTGGCATGATTTAGTTCAAATACCTTAGGTTAGAGAGTACACGGGTCTCTGTGACATTTTTAGTTTCAGCTCAGAGGGCATTGAACCAGTATAGAGACGCAGGCTTTCGTTCCATCTGATAGCAGCATTTCCCAGCAAAACACAGTTGCTATTGATGTACATAACGATCACTTTATTAACTGTGGAAGAAAGAAGCCTTATTGAAGTAATAAAGCATAACTTCATTATGTCCTGTATGCAGAGAGCAGACATGTTGGAAAGAGGCTGACAGGTTCCCATTTCAAGGCTGATTCTGATAATGATAATATTTAAGTGGCATTGATTGTTCTCTAATTGGATTTTTCTTTCTTTAGGCCTCTTCTGAAGAGCTGAAAGCTGCCTACCGGAGGCTGTGTATGCTTTACCATCCCGACAAGCACAGAGACCCAGAGCTCAAATCACAGGCAGAACGACTGTTTAACCTTGTTCACCAGGCTTATGAAGGTCGGTGGAGGGCTTGGCTTCGTAGAAACACCCTGGTAGCAGATATTCGATTTTTAAGAGACTTGATTTGTAGAGGATAGAAAAAGAGAGCCCTTAGAGGTGTATAAAAGAGGTGGTTAGTTTAGTACTTTTTACTGACAGGGTCCTTTGAAAGAGTAGTATTTTGCTTTGGAAATCAATGTGTGTCCAGTAAGTAGAAAATGTGCGTACAGGTAAAGTAATAGACCAGCGTCTGAATTGCAGAGGATACTCAAGTTTTAAATAGTTTACTAGTTTTCTTCTAAAGGGAACTCTTAGAGGTAAAAGGCTGATCGTTATAGACAAGCTTTCTTTGTCTTCTTCTTTGTGAGGAGATACAAGAACATTTTTTCATCTGAAAGTGATTTTACTAGTTCTGTAGCATTCAGTTAAGGAAAGGTTCTAACAAAAGAAAGAAAATGCTGTTAAGGCTAATAGGAAATAGAATCAAGTAATTCAAGTTTTTATACTTACGTGTATGTATTTCAGAAAGAAAATGTTGTGATATATTTGTTTATAAAATATTAAAGTCACTAATAGGTATAGAGTTTCTCTTTGAGATGATGAAAGAGTTCTAGAAATAGACAGTTGTGGTCGTTATGCAACGTTGTGAATGTACTTAACGCCACTGAATTGTACCCTTAAAATTGGTTAAAATGATCAATTTTATGTTATGTATATTTTCCCACAATTTTAAAAATTAAAAAGTATTAAATCGGGCCGGCCCTGTGGCTTGGTGGTTAAGTG